CTCCAGACCCCGGTCACAAGGGACATCCCATCGCCATGCCATCTGTTTTGAATCCATCATACACTGTCCCTCTCACCCTGTGCCCTTCTTCCAGCCAACACGAGAAAAATGGGAAGCTGGTGGGCAGTTAATAGACTTCCTATCCGAAATCCACTCCATCTCACCGATAACTCCTCACTCCACCCTCCAGTCGGGGGGACCCAGCCTCAAGAGATCTCAAAACCTGGGACGGGGCTCTGAGGCCAGTGTGCTGAGAACAGAGGTTAGCAACTCCTAGCTGGCCAATCCATTTCCACTCTAGGGAAAGGTGCAAATGTGGGTGGACATCTTCCCCAAGAAGCTTGGGCCTCCTGGCCCCCCAGTCAACATCAGGCCCAGAAAGCCTAAAAGGTGAGTGACCCACCACATCCATCGCTGCACTTCCCCAGGCACTGGCAACGGGTGTGCAATTCTTTTCCTCTCCCGGGAATCCCGGGAGCTTCCTTCCCCCGCATTCCCCCAAACTGGCATGCCTCGATTGGGCATGGAGGGCACCACGGCCTCAGCTGGGGAGCTACTCCTCAGCAAAGCCTCAGAGCCCACCGGCTGCAGGTATGAGCTGCGCTGCATTGTCTGGAAAACTGCCCAAGTGGACCTGAGGAGAAGTTTAACCACCGGGATGAGCGACATCTATGTCAAAGGGTGAGGAAGAGAGCAGGGCTCCAGCAGCATTCCCTCTGAGGTCCCCAGTTGTCTCATCCCTGTTCCTCTGCCCACGATCCTGGGGCGTCATCTCTCCACCCCCACCTGTGCCTGGTGGTGTGCCAGGGAGCCCCTCCCACAGGGCTCCAACTCAGGGACAGGGACAATACACGTGAAGCCCAGGTGAAAGGACTCTGGCCCCAGGTGGTTAGCTGGGCTCGAGAAGGACATGCAGAAGACGGATATCCACTACCACTCTCTGACTGGGGAGAGCAACTTCAACTGGCGGTTCATCTTCACCATGGACTACCTGGCAGCTGAGCGTATGTGTGTCCAGAGTCAGAAGGTAACAGGCCATGTGGTGGGAGGGCGGGGCGCGCTCCCCCTTCGGCTCTCTCGAACCGCAATCCACCCCAGAACCCTTGGAATGTGGCCTCAAGGAGAAAGCTCCTTCCTTGACAGTCCATCACCACTAGGTGGTGGGCTACTGAGGTGGCAGAGGGAAATCTCAAAGGAGACAGGTCAGTCACATGGTTTCTGTCATCCCCCAGGACTACATATGGAGCCTGGACCCCACCGTGATGAAGTTCCCAGCCCGGCTTATCATCCAGATCTGGGACAATAACACCTTCTCCACAGATGACTTCCTAGGTGGGATCCGGCCCAGGGCCCGCGACCACAGGGCAGGGAGCTCCTCCTTGCTGACACCATTTCTTTGGCTCAGGGGTCCTGGAGCTGGATCTGTTTGACATGCCCCTCCCGACCCGGCACGCCAACCTGTGCTCCATCAGGATGATGGAGACTGACTCCAAGCGGCCCTACTTCCTCCAGTATAAGCACTTCTCCCTCTTTAAGAAGAAGACCATAACGGGCTGGTGGCCTGCCCAGGTCCTCGATGGTGGCAAATGGCACATGTCGGTAAGAGCTGGGGAGGGTATCTGTTGCATAGGACTGCTCTGCCACATAACTTGGCTCTAACAGACTTCTGGGGACCTTAGCTAAATTCCTTTTCCTTTCTGGGCCCTTGGAAGGGGCCTTAAAACCACACACACACACACACACACACACACACACACACACACAAAACTATCCTCACATCTGCTATAATGAACTCAGCCTCCCATCGCCTATGGTGTTTCTAGGGTAAAGTGAAGATGACGCTGGAGATTCTGTCAGAGAAGGAAGCCTTAATCAAGCCAGCAGGGCGAGGCCAATCAGAACCCAATCAATACCCTACACTTCATCCTCCCCTGTAAGAGCCTGCGGGACAAAGGCACCAAATCTTTCCTCCTCATTCCCAGAGCTGAGCTGCTGGGCCCAGAAATTTGTATGGGGTGGTGAGCAGTGGGCCTACAAGTGGAGAGGGATCATTACTCCCCAACATCCCACCTCAGTTATGAGGAGGAGAGAACAGCCTGGGGGAAAGGGGTCGGCAGGCGGGGGGGGGGACACACAAGCAAGCAAAAGTTGCTTTTTAAAAAAGAAAGCTCTTTGCTGCGGATTACTTGACCTGAAGGTTCCCTCTGTGCCTCCATCCTCTGACATCTCCTCTGCTCATGCACAGACGCCCCAACACCTTGCTCATATTGCGGTCACCTGTGACAATATTCTGTCGCATTTTCTGGAAACGCTACCGCTTCAAAATCATCATCGGTGCAATCATATTCATTATGGCACTTATGCTGTTCAACTTTATCTACTCTGCCCCGGTGAGTGACCACCTTGGGGAGAGGGACAAAGGCACTAGTTGCTCTTGGTAGGACTCTGAAGAGACAGCCTCAAGTCGCTCCCTCAGGCTAACTGTCACCTGTTCTCTCTAGAACTACTTGGCCATGAGCTGGATCAAACCTGAACTTCGGCTGAATGCTCCCATTAAAACACCCACCAATATCATGAATCCGCCAAGCAGCAGCAACGCCCACTCTTCCATCCTCACCAGCCAGCATCAGAACCTAAATTCTACAATAGACCATGAGCTGAAACTCCTCCAGGGACCTATGAATCGCCTGCAAGACATTTTTCCAGAACTTCCAGCCCCACAAGACTAATTAGTCCATGTCTGCCTGGCTTTTCTCCAGCCCATCATTGGCCCTACCCTTTCGCTTCCTACTAGTTCTCATTTCTATCTTCTAGGACATAGACAGGGGGCTTCTGGGACATATGCAATGAGGGGCATGTTCTGTTCGGAAACCACTTCCAACAAGAACAGAGTTGTTGTCATTTTCCCACTGAAGTAAACACATTTTGTCACAGAGAGCTACCCTGTAATTTAAGGGAGTTGAAGAAACCATGAAAGCAAGACTCACAAGGACAGGAAACAACATCATTTTTATATAACACCTCTAGTCCTAAGGGTCTCTTCTTCTCTAAGAGGCTCTGAAGAAAGAGGGAAACCAAAGGAATGGGGGACTGTGAGGAGAGCAATGGCTCACGTGGGGTAAGCTTGCCAAGGCCTCTGCTCTGACCCCTACTGTGCATGTACAAAGCCTCTCCCTCCTCTAGGGCACTCCTGGGATTCGAGCGCCCAGAACAGTATTTGGTCCCATTCACAATGGGAAATACTTGTTTCTAAGAACAAAAAGCAAGCACTATGGCAGGACCGACCACACTAGGTTTCTTTGCATCACACATTTCTCAAAGGCTGGCCCCGGGCTGGGTGGGGACTGTACTTCATGTCTTCCCCATCCTCTTTTTTTTTTTTTAAAGATTTTATTTATTTATTTGTCAGAGACAGAGGGAGAGAGGGCGAGCGAGCACAGGCAGACAGAGAGGCAGGCAGAGGCAGAGGGAGAAGCAGGCTCCCTGCCGAGCAAGGAGCCCGATGTGGGACTCGATCCCAGGATGCCGGGATCATGACCTGAGCCGAAGGCAGCCGCTTAACCAACTGAGCCACCCAGGCGTCCCATCCCCATCCTCTTTCAAAAGCCACAAGGAGCCCATGAGCTTGAATCCCACAGAACTCATCAACTCAATCATCACGCACACATACACCCTCACCCATCATGAGACCCCTTCCTCCTGCACCACTGCCTGGGTCATCTCAAGAGCCCACCGAGGTCCCCCCACCACAGGGGTCTAGCCAATCTCGCCCTGCCCTCAAAAAAAGACAAAACAGCCCTCTGCTTTGTCAGTTCTAAGTGGTGCTGAGGCCAAGCTCCAGGTCCCAGCTTGTGCTCTGGTACCCCGGAGCTGCTCTGCTTCTGTGGGGAAGGTTTGGGAGGATCCCACTTTAGTGGCACTTCAGGAGAGCACTACAGCCTGTGATGCTCACTTAAGCACATGCGAGGGACAGAAGAAAGCCCAACATGACAGAAATCTATACCCAGCCAACATGACCCCCTTTCCTTCTGGCTGAGCTGAGGGCTTCTTTCCCAACTGAGAAGAAGGCAAGGTGAGGGTTCTCAGGCTTAGGGCTCAGTAAGAAAGCCCCACCCAAACCACCCCTAAAAGGAAGGACACTGAATTAGAAGCTCATGTTTGGTTTTCATCAGCCATTTTAAGAATTTCCCTTAGGCTACAGAAGTACATGGCTAGGAGAGCTCAGAGCTCCAGTCCCTCCAGGGAGACTGGCCTATTGGCCATTTTAATCACAGGGCAGACAGGTGAGCAGCACATGACCCCTTGTCAGATAAGGCAGTGGAATAAGGATTGACCCACAGAGGAGGACACTCAGGCTCTGTTGTTCAATGACAATGAACTCTTCCAGGCACAGAGGACGAGGGTCCATTGCTCCCAGATTTGCAACAGGAGAATAGCAACTGTTTCTTAACCATTAAGAAACAGAAGCCAAATTTCCTCTTTGGAGAGTATCCAAGCTGAGACCATAAAAAGGAAGTTTCTTTACATTTTCAACACTCTGAGTCGGATTTCAAAAGTCATGATAAACACCAAACATGCAGTTCATCAGGCTCCAGAGTCCAGAAACATCTCCACATGGCCAGATCACAAGGCAAATGTTGCTTCTGGTATAGAAATATGGAGCTGGCCAGTATCCTAGTTACTCCCCTGACAACCATGAAGTCATACAAGCTTCTCTTGACTTGCATACCCAACTTCTGGCCAAACCTGACTGAGGGCCTAAAGGAACCAACTGGGAAGGTCACAAACAAACCAACATAACCAAGATGCACGCTAAAGAACAACAGCTTGAGCAGTGAGCCAAAGAGCCCTCCACTTGTGGCCACCTACTGAGGGTCAGTGAAACATCAGTCTGTTCTGCAGCCCCAGGCTCCAAAAGAGAGGCATCCAGATGTCTCTTCTAGCTCAGGCTGCATGTGGAGAGAGCAATGAGTGGAGGGAGAAGGCAACACAGGGAAGAAGTTTCCATCCGGATTTCCAGGGAGGATTCCTCAGGTGGACAGAGGCTTGGACGAAAAGAAAAAAACCACCAAATGTATGCCTGGAAGGTATGAGGAGTTATCCGTGTTGTGTTCTCTATGGATTTAAAAATGAAACACAACGATCCTCTGAGTCCAACAACAAGGCAGCCTGAGCTATGAAATTCTTTTCTCTGATTTTTGGCATCAGAACCGTATATATTCTCTCTGTCCCTCTTAGCTCCCAAGTGGAAGGACTGCAGGGAAAGGCACATCACAGCAGAGCTGCCCTGGGGTAGGTGGGCTTCCTGAACCAGCTAAATGTCCCCATGGATCACCATGGCAATGCAGTATCCCTGCATTCAAAGCTCCAGTGAGAGAACAGAGTCCCTGACCAGCTGCTGGAGACTGGAGAAGACCCAGCTGGCTCGACACTCGGGCCAGCGCTGGCTCACGGTGACAGCCGCAGGCACGGCAGTAGTGGGATAGCTCAGTAGAAACGCTTCCGGCTCTGTTCCTGCCATTTGTTGTACAGTATGATACCAATGACAATGGCAAATACGGAAAACACCAGCGAGAAAAAGACGATGAGGAAGAGGGCCAGGCCACTCAGTGGGGGCAATGGGGCAGTCACTGAGGAAACAAGAGGGAAGCAAGTCAGAATCAGGAGCCCACCCAGTTGGGGAAATATCAAGTCTCCAGTTTCTTACATTTCTGGGAGCCAGAGGGCAGAAAGACACTCCCTTTCCAGGGGACTCAATTTAAAAACTGAGCAGCCCTGCTTATCTGTAACATGGAGACCAGCAGAATGGCAGGAGCGCGTGCTCCATGAACATGGCCCAGCGAGCTGCGGGTGCAAGTCACCCCAGACCTCCCAGGCACAGGGACCTCCTCTCTAAGCACAGGGCCATTTCCCAGATCCCCTGCGCTCACCTTCAGGCAGCTTCATGTTGTCCACCGAGGGCAGGAACACATCTCGATGCAGCTTCTCCTCTTCTGGGGTTCTCTCCACCGTAAGTTCAAACAACTTCAGGGAGATGACGTCGTGATTATCTAAAGGAAAAAAGCACAGGGAGGACCCAAACCACCTCAAAAAGAGGTATCTTGGGAGTTTCACGCTACAGCTCATTAGCAGTGACCCTGGATTTTTTTTTAGAAACATTTATTTATTTTTTCTTTCTTTTTCTTAAAGATTTATTTTATTTTATTTTATTTTATTTTTTATAAACATATATTTTTCCCCAGGGGTACAGGTCTGTGAATCTAGAAACATTTATTTTTAAGTAATCTCTCCATCCTGCGTGAGGCTCAAACTCGTGACACCAAAATCTAGAGTCAGATGCTGTGCCAACTGAGCCAGCCAAGTGCCCCGCTAGCAGTGACTGAAAAAAATAATTGAAACCTCTGTTTCCTTTCATGTAAAAATAAGGATGGGGAATAGAGAATAATCTATATTACTGAGGATTTAAAGTTTTTATCAATAGGCATGCATTACCTATATAGTTTTAAAAAAACTTAGACATAATGCAAGCAATAAAGCCCACCTCGTATATAAAACCTTGGAACACAGTGAGAGAAGACACAGCACCAAGCTTCCTGTCTGTGTAGACAATACGCCCAAGCAAGATAGGAAAGGGCCTCATGCCAGCTGATTAATAGGCCTTGAGCAGGGCATAGCTATTGGCATGGCACACTTCCCATCTGGACAATGATTAATTCTCTGCAGCTTCTTATAACTATCACCCTGAGTATCTCACTAATAATTACTAGAGAAAGGATCAAGGAATTAGGGACTCCCATTTTTTTCCTCTATTTTTTAACATTTTATTTGAGAGCATGCATGCATGCACGTGCGTGAATTTGGGAGGGGCAGAGGGACAAGCAGACTCTCCACTGAGCGGGGAGCCCAACACAAGGCTCCAGCCCAGAACCTCTGGGATCATGACTTGAATGGAAGAAAGACGCTTGACTGACTGACCCACCCAGGTGCGCTTTTTCTCTTTTTAAAGTTGTTATAATCTGATTCAAACATATTTGATGTGTTTCAAGACACTGAACTTGTACATCTTATAGATGCTCAACACGACCCATCTTCCTCCAGTGGGAGCCCATTCAAGTTGGCTCTTGAGCTCTTTTACATGAACCTAGAAGTTTTTTATTATCTTCCTTGCTTTCCTGGGAAGTTCCCAGCTTTCCCATTTCCTGCCTCAGACCTGGCATCAGTCGTTTCTCCAAGAAGCTCTTGTTTCCTTTAGCAGGAACTGGTATTAAAAGACCACAAAGCTGGGGCGCCCGGGTGGCTCAGTGGGTTGAGCCGCTGCCTTCGGCTCGGGTCATGATCTCGGAGTCCTGGGTTCGAGCCCTGCATCGGGCTCTCTGCTCGGCGGGGAGCCTGCTTCCTCCTCTCTCTCTCTGCCTGCCTCTCTGCCTGCTTGTGGTCTCTCTGTCAAATAAGTAAATAAATAAAATCTAAAAAAAAAAAAAAAAACCACAAAGCTGAATGCTAGGGGTGCTCATGGCTACCAGCATGGTCACCAGAGACTGGATTTCTTAAGAGAAAGACCTAATTTGTATTTAAAGCTATCCTACAGCCAGAGAACAGACACTTACTAATGTAGACAGTATCACTAAACATCTAGAGCAAAGGACTTTTTCAGATAAAAATTATTCTATTTCGTACTAGCTTTATTCATAATGAATTATACTAGTCAAAAAGCCCAAAAGTTCAGTGCCTTACCTCTTCTCCAAAGAGGTTATGATTAAAGCTCAAGCCAAGGGACAGAATAAACACGGAAGGGGAAGCTACAAGTTGGAAATAAGTAAGAATAAAATCCAGAGATAGAAAAGTAAAAGAACTAGGTACTGTTAATGCCACATAAATCAAGCAGGAGTTTCAGAGTAACTGGTCAAACCAGCTAAAGAGAGGACAGAGCAAGGGCTGAGAAGAGAGTACCATGCGTGCTGAGGAAAGAGAAGTAGTTTGGATGAGAACAGTGCTAACGGTCTGGCTGAGATGCCCAGGAGGCCTGAGTGCAGCAGGCTAGAGTGGGGGATGGCCTGGACACAGAAGCCCCTGAACACACAACACATTCGAACACCAAGCTGGGGGCAGTCAGAAGAGGGACAACAGAGTCAGAGAGTTCAAGGAAAAGCTTAAGAGAAGGGGAGCTCAGCACACCAGGATGTGGATGGGAAGGAACCAAACTGCAGAAAGGGCACCAGACATCATGAAGCACAGAACTCCAAACACGGGCTGGAAGAGCTGGCCTGAAGAGGCAGACCCTGCTTTCCATTAGCACCAACCGTCTCCTAGAGCCAACTGCACTAGGACAGCCTAGGCCTGGGGCAGGGGTGTTTAAGGGTACCAGAACACCAGAAGAGAAGCACTGTCCAGGTACTTCCCACAGCTCTGTTGTCTGCCTCTCCCCTCAGAAGCCTCACTAAGGCCCGGCTCTCAAGACATGACCTCGGTCAGGACAAATAAAGAGAGCTCATGGCAGTACCCGAGAGATCCCCAGTGATGGAGGAGGTGCCAAAGTAGTAGCCCCGGGGCAGACGGACCCCAGGCACCTCGATGCAGTCCCTCCACTCATGCTTGCCATCGATGTCCATCATTATCTAGAATAAAAAGAAAAGATACATCAGGGCTACAAAAGCAGGTGCAAGGCAGCCCATACCACCAACTGGTCGAGAAAGCAAGGACTCACCGTCAAATGTCTCTTGACATAGCGAATCACAAGGAAGGTGTCATAGTGCAGATTGCGGACAATGGCTGTACAGCCCCCCAGCTCTGTAGGCCGCCCATCCCGCTCATGATCATAGCTGAGTGAGCCATTGTTCACCATGGCTGAGATATAGGGGAAGACCCGCTGGGAAAGCAGGAAAGGAAGAACAGAGGACAGTAAGGAAGCATGCTTAGGAATGCCTGTACAAACAGCAATGGGAATTTTGCACATACAAGCTGAGCCCCTCCGGCAGACCAGACAACCACTCTACCTCATCGTTAGCAGCCCCTGAGAATGCACACTCAGATGATCAAAGGCTATGGCCCAGGAAGCAACTGAACTCTCCACCTGCCTTCACGAATCCTCCTTGCTACCAACCCGGGTGAGCCTGAAATGGCCCCTCTGGAGTCTGACTCAAATCCTTCCAGAGATCACTCTTTGGCACTCACATACATACATGGCCCAGGACCGGTGGTCTCCTTTTGATACATATATATACCTTCTCCCCAATTTGCCATGTAAACCCCTCGAAGGGAAAAAAAATCACTATACTTGTATGTCCCTTCCTTCCATCCCCCACAACCTCCCACCCCCACCCTCCCAGGTGAGCATTTTGCACATAGCAGGTACTCTGAAAATACCTGTTTGATCAGGGAAATCTTTCCATTCCAAATAATTCCTTTCAAATCCTCAAATCCTGTAAGCACATGATGGATGCTAAATGGATCAGGACTCAGAACCAGCACTGCCAGCTGGTGTTCTCCAGCCACAAGGACTGTTCTTAGTCGAAAGACCTTCCAGCCTACTTAAGCTCCACCTACACATAACTTCTCCCCATAATACCCTGGGCAAGTTCTCCTACTGCGAGCTTCCCCATAAGCTACCAATCTTCCCACCTACTTCAGAGGCCCCGTCTCTCCAACAGAGTTGGAGGAACGAATTCGTCCTCAGAAATGATGGGCTAACCATTTAAGAACCAGCCCAGTGCTGAGGCAGTGCGGAGGCAGGGTGATGAAAGGAGAGGAAACATGACACATGCCCCTTCTCTGGTGACTTCCTCATTGTCCTCAATAGTCAACATGCAAGGTGGAGATGCAGTCAAAATCAGAGACTCGTGACTCTCAAGACAACAGCCACATGGGTGTGAACAGGAGCAAATGCTGAATGGACACAGAGGGAGTAAGGCATGGCCATGGCGTGTCAAGACTGAGTACCTGGACTCCTGGAGAATATCGCCTCTTCTGGGCCTGAGAGGGTCCAGCAGGTTTTTATAAAAATGAGAGAGGACACAGAAGACAGGAGACCAGGTCAGAAAGAAACAGCCATGGAAGAGCTTTGACCCAGCCGTGGTGGATGAGCAAACCGATCTAAATCCCCAGAGCTGCCAGATCTGTGGAGGGCATTTAGCAAGTCCTTACAACCCCTCAAAATTACAGGCAAAACTATGTGCACAGATGCTTGTATGTTTTCTAAGGAGAGGGTCTGTTACTATCCGATTCTTGAAGGGGCCCACTAGGAAAACCTCTCTAAGGCTTTCAGAGACTTCATAAAACACACGGCGTTACACTGTCCAAGAAGGCCCCACGTCGCTTATGTCTCTGAGTCAGAAGGCCAAGCCACGTGTTTTTGTCTGTACCCAGGCAACAGTATTTCTGTAGCAAGGGGAGACACAGGAGTGACAAAGAAGGCCAATTTCTTCCAAATTCAAAATGCCATTTACTGCCCAGGATCTCAGCCTAAGATCTTACCCAAAGGATAAAAATCCCACCACTTGAGAGACAATGGAGTTAACTCTAATCCAGAGGGATCATTTACCCTCTAATTGAACCTTATGGACATACATTTCCAAACAACTGTTGTCATTCTAACCTACAAGGGAAAAAGTTCCGTGGGAGCATTGCTGCATGGCAGATTTAGAAAAATCAAGAGGCTCGACAATATTTAGCTTTGGTCCAGAAAACTGCTACAGTTCTAAGCTACTAGCGACAGGAGATACCTACACAAGCTCAGCCCAGCCCTGCCCTACGGGAAGGATGTGTGAGGGTATAAAGCCCGAAGCATTCCTCCTTCTATCACTGAGCACCTATTAGGAACTGGGCACTGTTCCAGATGCCAGGGGCTCATAGAGCTGACATCAGAATGGAAGAGACAAACAACAAATAAATAAAACTACTTCAGAGAGAGAGGTGCCCAGCTGGTTCAGTCGGAAAAGCTAGCAATTTCTGATCTCAGGGTCATGAGTTCGAGCCCTACTTTAGGTATAGGGACTACTTAAAGAAATACAACTCACAAAAAAGCATTTCAGAGAGTACTAATGCTATGATGAGAATAAAACAGGCAACATGATAAACTGCTAAGGGAACAAGCTCTCTGAGGAGTTGAGGCCTCATCTTTGGAGAGAGCCACCAAAAGATCTGCGGGCATAAGAAGCATGAGATTGACCTCTTCGAGGACCAGGAGGAGACAGCAGTGTCTGACACACAGCCAGTGAGGGAGAGGTGGGTGTGAGCTGAGACACAAGCCAGATCACACTGGGCCTCAGAAGCCACAGGGAGGAAGGAGCGCAGGGCAAGTCTCAGAGCAGACCCCCACTGCTCTGCTTCCATGCTGCTGGGGGACTATGCACAGGTCTACAGAAGGGTACGGAATGCATCAGTAGATGGTCCAGTTCCCAATACTCCTCTCCTACAGCGATCGTGTAGAACAAGGGAATTCATAGTATGCTGTCAAACAACGTACAGGAATGGGCTTCTGAAAAGAATGCTCCTAACTTCAGTGAACAATCAGGGAAAAGAAGGGATTAAAAATGCCCTGGGTAGCTCATTTATCAACCCCAGCACGCATGATCAGAAGTTTACATTGCACCTTTCAAGAAAGTGCCTGGGAAAACTCTCCTTAAGCCATCAGAGCCTTCCTCTTCCCAAGGCTGGTGAGGCATCTGATTATCCAGTAAGAGCCAGAGGTAAGCTGGCCCCCAGCATCCTCTGGGAGAGCCTTCCAGCTGCAATCCCATGTGGGTCCCTCACTCAGTCTCATTCAATAGGCCTGGGAGGGGCGGGGCACAGGATCATCTATTTTTCTTTTTTTTTTAATATTTTATTTATTTATTAGACAGAGAGAGATCAGAAGTAGGTAGAGAGGCAGGCAGAGAGAGAGAGGGAGAAACAGGCTCCCCGCTGAGCAGAGAGCCTGATGCGGGGCTTGACCCTAGGACCCTGAGATCATGACCCAAGCCAAAGGTAGACGCTTAACCCACTGAGCCACCTAGGCGCTCCCATATATTTTTCAAAAAGCACCACAGACAGTTGTAATGTGTGGCCAAATCTAAGAACCACTGCACCAGACACAGCACCCCACAACTTTGGAGACAGAATCTGTCTACTTCAGCAACTTGTGACTTGGCCTTCAACTTTTCACCTCACACTAGTAGTAAGTCTTTAAATGCCCTCTTATTTTCCATGCCCAGGCAGGAGTTAAGTGTTCCTTGGGAAGCCACTAATTTCACACAGCAGCTCATTTTCTTTCCTTGGAAAGCAGCCTATATATAGCCAGAACCAAAGGCTGAAGAATCCCTCAGACTCAGTCAAGGTGGTAGTTTCATTCCTAATTTAAGAGTCACTAAAAATTAGAGTCACTCCTACCTATCGTCCAAATGATTATTGCCTGTAGGATGAAGAAATGTTTCCAAATTTTTCTACTACAAAGCCACTTAAAAAAAAAAAAAAAAAGCCCTCTATGTGGTAATTGTACCCTTAGCCTATCTTGACTGAAGGGAGACCTGTGAACTTGCGGACTTATGTATCCTATGCTAAAATCCCACAGATTCCAAGCACACAAGTAACTGTAAACTACTAGACAGAAAAAGGAGCCCACCAGCCTCTGTAATCAGGGAGACTGGGTTCTAACAGCAGGTATACGCTCAGAGCTGTATAACCTTGGGTGGATTACCATAGCTCCTTGAGACATTCCATTTCCTCCCTGTAAGCACAGAGGATAATACAGAGCTAGCTCACAGGGCTGATCATGAAGATGAAATGAGATACAAGTCCTTTAGTATGGTGTCTGGGAGTCAATAAATGTTCATTCATTCTAAATACAAATACTACTCCCAGCTGTGCATATATGAGCATCAAGGCAAATACTCATCTTTTAGAGCAGTAATTCCTGGACCATTGGCTGTCACAGACTGGTAAAATCTCCAAAAATATGTTGGAGATTAATGGGTTTGCCATTTTTGACCTATAAACATTAAATTACAATAATGACAGAACCATCTATAATAAACATTTTTAAAAGAAAATTTTAATACCAAAAAAATAACAGAATTTCATGATAAACAATTTAGCATTCATGAATTCACTTTACTATTTCTATTCTTTTTTTTTTTTTTTAAGATTTTATTTATTTGACAGAGAGAGACGTTGAGAGAGGGAATACAAGCAGGGGGAGTGGGAGAGGGAGAGGCAGGCTTCCCGCCGAGCCAGGAGACCAATGTGGGGCTCAATCCCAGGACCCTGGAATCATGACCTGAGCCAAAGGCAGACGCTTAACAACTGAGCCACCCAAGCACCCCTACTACTCCCATTGTTAAGACCAGTGAAACTGGGGCGCTTGGGTGGGTCAGTCAGTTAATCATCCATCTTCGGCTCATATCATGATCCTGGGGTCCTGGGAGGTCCTGGGATCAAGTCCCACCGCTGGCTCTCTGCTCACCAGGAAGCTTGCTTCTCCCTCTCCCTGCAGCTCCCTACTCATGCTCTTTGTCAAATAAATAAATAAGATCTTAAAAAAAAAAAAAAAGATCAGTGAAACTTGTTACCAACCAATATGAGTTCATGAACCAGCATTTAGGAGCCACTCTTCTTAGAGTCATTTTTTCCAACCTAAGGCATAGTGCCGTGCAGTAAGCTGGCCAAGTTTGCTCTCTGGAACCTAGATATGAAGAAAAGGAGAGTGGGAGAGGAGAGGGAAAGAACAGAGCCACAAAAGCTACTGCCAAGATGTCTGCAAAGTATCCCCTGGGAATGGCATTTAGTGGTGTGAATGAGAATAATGGGCATTTTCAGAGCACTTATGCTGTGCCAGGTACTGTAGTGAGTAATGTGCACATACCCATTCATTTACTTCTCACAACTGTAAGCGGTGATATCAGTATCCCCACTGCACTGGTAAGAAAGCTTGTTTAAGCAGTAAAACCAGGATTGGAAGCCAAGTGGTCTGGCCCCACAGCCCTGACTCAATCTCCATGCTTCACTGTTCTCAAATCATTATGGAAAAGTGATTAGTATATACTGTTAGAAACAAATAAAACAAAAGCCATAGGTCTCTAATATAACCTGAAACACAGAAATATTGGAGAATGGCTCCAGATTCTAAAAAAGGAAAGGGGAGGTGCCTGGATGGCTCAGTCTCTTGAACAACTGACTCTTCATTTCAGCTCAGATTGTGATCTCAGGGTTGTAGGACTGAGCCCATGCTGGGATCTGTGCTCAGTGCAGTCCACTTGTCCCTCTCCCTCTGCTCCTCCTCTAGCTTGTGTGTGTGTGTCTCTCTCTAACAAAAAAAAATGACATCTTAAATTAAAAAAAAAAAAAAAAAAAAAGGAAAGAGGGGCACCTGGGTGGCTCAGATGGTGAAGCATCCAACCCTTGATTTTAGCTCAGGTCATGATCGAAGGGTCATGAGATCATGCATTGAGCTCCCCACTCAGCAGGTAGTCTGCTTGAAATTCTCTCTCCCTCTCCTCTTCTCGTGTGTGCACACACACTTTCTCTCTTAAATAAATAAATAAAATCTTTAATATGTATATTTTTTTGTTTACTCATCAGTTGATAGGACACTGAGTTATATCCATTTTGTGGCTATGAACGTGTGCTTATGAACAGTGCTATGAACATTTATGCAACTTTCTGTGTAGACATGATTTCAATTTCTCTTGGGTATATACACCTAGGAGTGGAATTGATGGATGATATCAACTCCATATTTAGACATTTGAAGCACTGACCAACTGTTCTCCAAAACGACTGCCCATTTCACATTCCCAACCAGCAGTGTATGAGAGTTCCAATTACTCCACACCCTTACCAACACTTGCTAGGATTTGTCTTTTTTATTTTAGCTATGACTAAATAGCCACAAGTGGGTATTAAGTAGCATCTCATTGTGGTTTTGATCTATATGGCCCTGTTGGCTAATGATGCTGAACATCTTTTCATGTTTCTCCATCCTTTGTGTATCTTCTTTG